CCTAAGGAGCATGATAGAGTGTTGGACTTGAAGTCTGACAAATGGAGATCTCTCTGTGCCTCAGAGGACTTGTCTGGAAACTGAAGGTGGCAACACCCACCTCACATGACTTTTGTGAGGACTAAGTAAGATGGGCGCTTAAAGCTTCCTTCCTATGCTAGCTAATTTTAAGACAACTTGACACAAGCTAGAGTCATCAGAGAGGAGGGAGCCTCAATTCATAAAATACCTCCATAAGATCCAGCTGTAGGGCACTTTACTTTCTTTCTTTTCTTTTCTTTCCTTCTTTCTTTTTTTTCCTTCGAGACAGGGTTGCTATGTGCAATAGACCTGGTTGTCCTGGAACTCACTTTGTAGACCAGGCTAGCCTCAAACTCAGAGATCCACCTGCCTCTGCCTCTCAAGTGCTGGCATTAAAGTCATGCATCATCACCACCCAGCTGTAGGCCATTTTCTTAATTAATAATGGAGAGGACCTAGCCCATTGTGGGTGGTGCCACCCTGGCTTGGTGGTCCTAGATTCTGTAAGAAAGTAGGCTGAGCAAGCCATGCATGATGAGCAAGTCAGTAAGCAGCACTCCTCCATGGCCTCTGCTTCAGCTCTTCCCTCCAGGTTTCTGCCCTGTTTGAGTTCCTGTTCTGACTTCCTTCAATAATAGACTGTGACGTGGAAGTACTGGTCAAATGAACCCTTTCCTCCCCAACTTGCTTTTGATCACGTAGTGTTACATCATAGCAATAGAAACCCTAGCTCAGACACTTCGTTCATCCATTATATTCAACACAGAAATATCTTCAGTTGAGGTAAATCAGACAAACTCCAAATAGAAGCATATAGGCTCTGAGCCCTAAATCAGAGGATGGGAGCAGCCTTCTTACATCACAAGGAAACCGATGCTCTATATGATTTCATTCATTGGGGGCCAAACTCCCTGTCTGAACTCAAGGTAATCAATTCACTGTACAAATCTGCCTGTCCCTCGGGCTTTCCTGGGAAGTGTGACTTTCAGTACTAAACCAGGAAAATCCCAGACAATAATTTAGACTCTCAAGAGTTCTGGGTTGGTGCTTATCCCAATGAAAAAAAAATTCTTCCAAGTATGTAACGAAAGATTGAGGTATAACATAGGTGGGCTAGGTCGGTCTTTCTCCTTTCTTTTATGGCCAAGCTTCTCCAAGGTGATCTTTGCTCAACACTAGTCTTATCTCAAGGCCACTCAGCTGGTGACACTCTAGGGTTTGGAATGAGGTCTTTAAATAGTGACATTTAGAAAGGAAGGGGGAGCATCTTTGTTAGCAGGTGTGCTGTTTTCTCTTGGAGATATTTTCAAAGAACTTCACAGGACTAGAGAATGACAAAGCTATAGTATATTCCCACATTCGCTGATGGCTCCTCAGAACTCTAAAACACTTGAGGGTTGGGCTTAGAGCCCATCACAATGCCTATAGTGGAGTGCATCCTTGCTGGGGAGCAGAGTTCTTATGCTGGGCTCCAGTAAACTAGCCAAACTCTTTGCTTCTCTTCCCAGAATTTGAGCTCAGCATTGTGACTAATGACATTGCTAAGAAGTACTAAGTATTCCTGGTGTTAGTAGTTTTATTCACCTACCCTCCCACCCTTTGTGATCAACATTTTTTTCTATCTGAAAGCCGGAAGGGATTCAGGGTGTTCCACACTCCATCCTTATTGATCAGCTGCTATTCGGAACAGGAAAGAGATGGTGCCATTCCTCCTGAGAGGCCACAGTCCTGTCACCATCAAAGTATGTGCTGCTCCCCTCTCACCAAACACCAGTTTCAAATGGGCGAGGGTCCCACAGCTGAAATGCCACGAGAACTGTTTGGGAATTGCTCCTAAGCACATGTAGTCACGACTGTCACCATTTTTTGTTTGTTTGTTTTGTTCTGTTTTTTTTTTTGCAGTAGTATAGGTGGCATTACTATATTTCCTTAATATCTGGGACAACACAGCCCTGATTTGCTGAACATTTGGTCTCTCCTCTGGCTACCCTTCTTCCTAATGTCCCCAAAGTACTCACACGTGGCTGGGTATTAATACTTGATGTCTCATATTTATTCTGTGTTCTCACTTCCCACTTAGAGCTTTCTCTCTCACTTGGGAACTTCCAACATCATCGTCTCTGTTTCCAAGTTCCTCTTCTCGCTGCAAGATTGCCATCACCTTGAACAACTTACGTCAGACTTGTTGGACTCATCTTGTCTCCTCAAGTAGTTTCTTTCTAGACTTCTACTTTTCTCACAACTTGTGGCCAATATCCCTTTCTCTTGGACTAAAATCTTGTCATCAACTTTAACTCATTTCCACATCTCCAGTCAGAAATAAATCAAAGTCTCCTTTGCAATGCCTTTCATCTGATTCATCTTTCTGTTTCCACGGTCTTCAGCCTCACCTGTGCGACTATGGCACATTCTCTACATTAGTTTCTAACTCTAGATCCTCTTACTCCATCCCACTTAGCTCCCAAATAAAATGCTGCCTTGTTGTGTACCAAATAGTTCGATTCCTTAGTCTAATATTTAAGAATTTCCACATGAAGTCTGCCATGGACTTTTCCCTCTAGAAATGATCTCAAATATGGCAGGAATAAATGACCAGTTAGGTGGACAATTGCATCCAAAAGATGTGCTCTGTGAACTGACTCTGTTCTATCTCAGTCTATCATAGTTTATTTTGGTTACTATGACAAAACACCAGGGACTAGGTAACTTATAAAACAACAGTAATTTATTTCTCATTAGAAAGTCCGAGATCGAGATTATGGCAGATTTGCTGTATTTTGAAGGCCTGCATGCTGGTTCACAGCTATCTTGCTTTCCTGTGCTGATAGGACAGAAGTTTTGAGGGTCCTTTCTCTCAGTCCCCTTTAACGAGGGCACTGATTTCATTTATGAAGACCCAATCACTCTCTCAAGACTCAATCACTTCCCAAAGACTCCCGCTCCAGATGTGATCACAATGGTGATTAGATCACAACAGGAAAAGCTTTGGTGGATGTAACATTTAGTCCATAATGCAGTCCAACCATCTCAGCCCTCTGACCCTGCCCAGCTTCTCTCTGGCTCTCATGCCTTTGGTTTTCTACTACTGGGTCCTAAATCTATTTGATGTTCTGAGCCATAGCTCATTACCTGTTCCCTGTCTTGGGGTGACAGGAGAATGGAGCACTCTGGGATGATCCCCCTTCGGGATTACTAGTGTGCCTGGTAGAGTCTAGAACAAAGGTGCAGGGATAATCAGATGGAAGTATGTTGTCTTAGTTTGGCTTCTACTGCTGTGATTAACAGCAGGGCCAAAAGCAGCTTATGCAGGCAAGTGTTTATTTAAATTTGTAGTTGATAGCCCATCATGAAGAGAAGTCAAGACAGCGACTCAAGACAGGAAACTGGAGGCAGGAACTGAAGCAGAGACTATGGAGGAATGCTGCTTACTGGTTTGCTCCTCATGGCTTGTTCAGCCTGCTTTCTTACAGAGCCCAGGACCATCTATGTATACAGAGGTGGCCCTACCCATCGTGAGCTGCCCCCCACATCAATCATCAATCAAGAAAATGCCCTATAGAATTCCCATAGGTAATCTATAGAAGCATTTTCTCAGTTGAGGCTCCTCTTTCCAGATAACGCTAGCTTGTAACAAATTGACAAAACAAAACAAAACAAATTTCCTGAAAGAACACCAGGACATGTGTTGAGGGTATAATTCCAGTATCGATCCCACACATAGTCACAGGGGCAGTCAGATTCTACAGTAGCACAACGTAACTCTCCGTGAACATGGAAATGTCCTATTCTGTGTCATCCAACAGAGTAGCTACTTGCAGATGTGGCTACTGAACACTAAAACACAATTGGCATGAAGGAGGAATTAGTCCATTTTATTTCATTTTGATCAAATTGAAACCGTCACATGTGACTGACTACCAAATAGAGCAATGCAGATTTACAGGTTCACAAGGGTCACAGCTGATTCTAATTAAAGTGTCTGAGACTCTGTTGGAAATCAGTTTGTGTGACTCATGGGCATTACTGACTTATAGGGTACAATCAACAAATATTTGTTGAATGGGGTAGACAGATAAACAAAAGCAAAAAGGAGAGCCAGAGTAAAGATTCCTTGAAGATGTGGGGGATTATTGAAGACTAAAGATAAAAACGACTTCCCCAAGTTCAATACATTGGGTTCTGAAAGGAATTCTGTTTCAAGTTAGGTGCAGTGGTGCATAATTTAATCCAGGCACTGAAGAGGGAGAGACTTTTGATCTTTGTGAGTTCAAAGTCAACCTGATCTACATAGATAGTTCCAGGACAGCCAGGGCTACATAGGGAGACCCTGAGACCCTGTCGTGTGTGTGTGTGTGTGTGCCTATGATGTAAGATGGTTGTTTTTAGATTGTTTTTTTTTTTTTGGATGAGATAATGGTACTATAAATTCCAGAGGCAAAGGTCCATGCTGAAGTGCTTAGGGATGAAGCCTCATTAGCATCTCATTATCATGTGGGGTGACTCTAACCATTCAAGGAGGAGGAACAAAAATTGCAAGATGCTAGCAACTGTTATAGTGGCATGGGACTGCGCAGGACAGAAACTTCTGTCTACCCCTTCCATAGACAGGAAACTCCATGGGGCAGCAGGGGAGATTGGGGCTGAATGGACAATTGAAGGTAGACAGTAAAGAAGGGGTTCAAGAAACAGAAGTCAGAGGTTTCATGATTAGAACCCCTCAGAGGACATGTGGGTCAGTGCAGAGAGCCTGGGCTAGCGTGGCCTGAGTTGGAAACCTGACTCCAAACTTAGCAGATGGGTGACCTTGGGTGAGTTAGCTTCTAAGTTTCCATTTTATTAACTGTAAAATTGGACAGCTCCTCCAAGGCAGTGAGCAGAATTTAATGAAAGACCATGTGAACTCTCTTTGGCCCTTGATCATATAAATAACTACAGCACATTCCTTGCTAATATTTCATATTTTCATATTTCCTCTACAGTTAAGAAGCCAGACGTTGGGAGGCCATGGTAAGTATCAGGATCTTGTTGGAGCTTCACTGTTGGCAGGTCCAGGTCCAACTCTATTTATCCAGGATCCCTAGTCGCTGGTTATAGATGTAGCTGTGTGAGTTTATGATATTTGTTATTGAAAAGTGGACACTGACTAAGGGGAAAGATGAGAAAGATTTGTGAGCAAAGATTTGGTAAAAGAAAAATGAAAATGAATTGCTCAACACATAGAAATAATGAGCAATGAAACAGGAATATTAACCACTCTGATGTGGGTCATTAGCCATTGTAATATATGTACATAGACTGAATTATTATGCAATGTCAATGAAATTTTTAAAAAATAAAAATAAAATATAAAAAAGCCAACAAGAATCTAATTGGCTAACAGTTCCTTCATTCAGGAAGTATTACAGAATACCTAAAGTGGCTTATGTCAAGTGCTAGATGCCAGAGAGGAAAATGTGAACAAAACCAGACTTGGTCTTGGGCTCTGGAATCGTTGGCTGGATGAGTAACAGCACACTCACAGCACACTCACAGCACACTCACAGCACACTCACAGCACACTCACAGCACACTCATATTCAGGAGTGTTACATGCGCCACGGTTATGAAGAAAGCTCGCAAAGAATAAATACTATTTTGGTGTTGAATTGAGGTATATACAAAATATAATCTCAATATATTGTAGATCAAAATGGAAGATAAAAATAAAGTAAATAAAATAAAGACTCTCAAAGCTACATAAATCTATATCTCCATGACCCTTAAGGTTGAAATTTTTAAATGATACCTTTATTAATTCTTAAAGCATTTCATACAACATGTCTTGATCATGTTCAGTGTTCCCTACCTCCTCCTCCGTCCACCCTCTCCCCTTTTCATGTCCTCTTCTCTTTGTCTTTAGAAAAGATTATCACAAAGAAGTAATAAGTATGATGAGAAATACAGGTACATTGGAATCCAGCCTTGTGTCTCAAAAGCAGTGTTCGAAATCATATTGATAATTGTGCTGGCCAGTCTTCTCTCAACTTGACACAAGCTAGAGCTATCTAAAAAGAGGGAACTTCAATTGAGAAAATGCCCTCATAAGTCCAGCTGTAGGGCATTTTTAAACTACTGATGGATATGAGAGAGCCCAGCCCATTGTGGGTGAGACCACCCCTGGTCTGGTCTGGTGGTGCTGGATTCTATAAGAAAGACGGGGCAATCCGTGGGGAGAGGCAAACCAGTTGGCAGCACTCTTCTGTGACCCCTGCATCGGCTCTGGCCTCCAGGTTCTAGCCCTGCTTGAGTTCGTGTCCTGATTTCCATCAGTGAACTACAATGTAGACGTGTAAGCCAAATAAAATAAACCCTTTCCTCCCCAACTTGCTTTTAGTCATGATGTTGCATTGCACAATAGTAACCCTAAGTATTATGAATGTGTTCCAAATCACCGGTCATACATGGTTTGAAAATAACAGTTGTCAAATGTAGTCTGTCACGGCCCAGTCTTTGGGATCTGTTTTAAACATACCACTTACACAGCAGAAACTACTACAAAGACTGTTCCGGACTGCTGTGTTTCCGATTGCCTCTGCATTAAGAGGTTGCCATAGAAGTCTTAAAGAGACATGACATGCATCAAAAACCACTGCGGGAGTGTATTCTGTTCCCCTTCCTGCAGTTACCTGTCTCCTCTGCCATTGTCTCCTCTGTGTCCAGGGCTGGGCACGCAGGCCTGCACCTGAGCAGCACAGGCATTGTGAAGGATGCATCAACCGCCACTGTCATGTTCCGGTGGAACCCAGCGTCTCCTGCCCGGTGATAAGCTGCCACCTGCTCTGTGGCGCTACCTTCCACATGTGCAAAGAGGCAGAGCACGCACTCCTCTGCCCTCTAGAGCAGGTTCCGTGCCTCAACTCGGAGTATGGCTGCCCGCTCTCCATGGCACGCCACAAGCTGGCTAAGCACCTGCAAGTGTGCCCCGCCAGCGTGGTCTGCTGCTCCATGGAATGGAACCGCTGGCCCAATGTGGATTCAGAAACGGTCCTTCATGAGAACATCATGAAAGAGATCCCCAACGAGGAATGTCTGGACACTGCCCTGGCCCTCCAGGACCAGAATGTTCTCTTCAGGTCTTTGAAAATGGTAGAGCTTTTCCCAGAGGCCAGAGATGCCACCGAGGAGGAGCCAGCCATGAATGGTGACACCAGTTGGGAGGAGACCGGAGGTGCGGTGGGGGGCGTGGATGCCAGGCCAGTACCACACTGTTGTCTGCCAGCAACCAATGGGCAAATGATGGAACTCAGTCAGGAGGAACGAGATGCACTGGCGAAAACCAAAGAAGGGATGGACCTGGCCAAGTTTGGCAAGTGGGAAAGTATGTTCAGCAAGGAGCATGCAGCCTCGGTTTTAACGGGTTCCTCGGGGAAGAGCGCAGACGAGTGTGGGAACGTGACTGTGAGAGAGCCGTGTTCCCGTAATGGTAGCATGGGTGATGCAGAGGCATCTCCAGGAGAAAGAGAATCACAGGAAAGCCCGCAGCCCCAGGATCTTCCCGCTGCCTTGGAGATGACAGGGCTTGCCCCCTGGCAGGATGGCGTTCTAGAAAGACTAAAAACGGCCGTAGATGCCAAAGACTATAACATGTATCTGGTGCACAATGGGCGGATGCTCATCCACTTCGGGCAGATGCCAGCTTGTACGCCCAAGGAGAGAGACTTTGTTTACGGCAACCTCGAGGCTCAAGAGGTGAAAACGGTTTACACCTTCAAAATTCCTGTGAGCTACTGTGGGAAGAGAGCTCGCCTGGGAGATGCCATGTTGAGGTGCAGACCAAGTGAACACAAAGCCGTGGACACTTCCGATTTGGGCGTCTGTGTGGGAGACCTGCCCAAATCCGATCTCATCAAGACCACCCTCCAGTGTGCTTTGGAAAGAGAACTCAAAGGCCATGTCATCTCGGAATCCAGGAGCATCGATGGGCTCTTTATGGACCTCGCCACCCAAACATACAACTTTGAGCCAGAGCAGTTTTCCTCAGAGACAGTGTTGGCTGATGTCCTAAGCACTGCCCAAGCCACAGGCCTGCACGTGGAACTCCACAGTGAGTGCGTGACCCGGAGACACAATAAAAGCAGCTCGGCCTTCACGTTCACCTGCAACAAATTCTTCCGGAGGGATGAATTTCCCCTGCACTTCAAGAACGTCCACACAGACATTCAGTCATGTCTCAACGGCTGGTTCCAACATCGATGCCCTCTCGCCTACTTGGGATGTACCTTTGTCCAAAATCACTTCCGCCCCCCTGGACAAAAAGCAAAAGTGATCTATAGCCAGGAACTGAAGACTTTTGCCATCAAGCCAGAGGTTGCTCCGGAGCTGAGTGAGGGATGGAAGAGTGACCAGCTCTTGGGCCATAGTAGGAAAAGCCGGAATTCTCTAACCAGTCTGCCCCTGGAAGTTTTGCAATACATTGCTGGGTTTCTGGACAGCGTCAGCCTGGCCCAGCTCTCCCAGGTATCGGTGCTGATGAGGAACATCTGTGCCACGTTGTTGCAAGAGAGAGGGATGGTGCTCTTGCAATGGAAAAAGAAGAGGTATTCTCATGGAGGCTCCTCCTGGAAAGTCCACAGTCAGGCAAGTAAACATTTGGTTTTCTTTTTCATTCATTCATTCATTCATTTGTTCATTCATCCAATAAATATTTATTAAGAGTTCTCTTGGGGACAAGCACTATACTAGGCCCTGGGACAGCTGTGAAAATAAGAATCACTCAAAACATTCAGTCCAGTAGGAAAGCAGACAGAAACATATGTTCTGCAGTATAGCGCCAATGCCACACCTGCTTATATACAGGCAGTGTCTTTCACTGGCTCACCCATTCTACACCAGTTCTCTCCATTCTCCACCCGTCTCCATCCAGGTCTATTGCAGAGCCTTATCTCTGCAAGCCTGCCTCTGCTGCCTCCCCTGCCCTCCAGCTTCTAGTTAGGCTGGACCAGTGCAAATGTTTCAGGAGAAGGGAGGAGGGGGACGTGCTGACCAACTCACTCTCTTTAGCATGCCCTCCCCTCCCCTTCAAGACACCATGAAATGGCGGTGTCCCTCCACTGAAGGTGGCTACAGCAGGTGACTTGATGCACACAGCTGTTTGTTCTGAGTGTAGTGACCAGTTTCCCTCTTTCCACGAAACTTTAGGCTACTAGCTCTGGATATCGCCCCCAGATTTACAGACCATGCCTCCCCAACCCACCCAATTTGAGTGTACCACTTGCTCCCTGCTTGAACTCCGATTGGTGTAACAGACAAACAAATTCCTTTCGGTCTCATGCCAACAGACTTTTAAAGATAAGTTTCATTTTGAAGTTGTATGTGAGTTTGCTCCACCCACCTCTCATGGTCAAATTGCTTATTTAATATAAAACACTGCAGTATATAAATCAAAGACTCTTTTCCTTCTGAAAAACTATGCTCCTTTTCTCAGTTGAGTCATCTTCACTGACTTACAACTTCTCCAGAAGTTAGACTCCTAATTCATCATATCCAAAGTGTTTGTGATATATTTTATTATGACAAACGTGTTGATAATATGAACCCTGGATATATATCTATTTAGTTCGCTAACACCACTGCTGTGCTTGTCCCATACATGAATGTTCTCAAGTGTGTGGAGGAATTAGAGTTGTTTGCATCTATTTTTATTGATTATGTCGAAAGTATTCTGTATCTATTCCCTTAATTTTTCCTTAAACAGTCAAGACTCCTTTATGTATCTGTGCCCACATCCACAAAACCACATTGGTGATAAACATTCATGAGAACAATATACTCCTCTAGGAGTGCATCTGAGACCAGTAAACATATCTTTTTTTATAAAATCAGATGTCAATTGTAGCATGACTAATAAAAACCCAGAGACAGGCACTGGGATTCAACCTGAAGGTCAGAAAAGCAAAATAGCTAGCCACTGGCTCTTACCTCTCCCTCAGTCCGAAATGGTGATCCTGCCTCCAGGAATCCTCAGAATGAGACAGAGCTGTCTCCTTCCGTTTTCTATTCCTCTCTTGTGCTGGGATTAAAGGCGTCCACCACTACCACCCAGTTTCTATCGCAAACTAATGTGGCTACTGGGATTAAATGTGTGTGTCACCATTGCCTGGTCTATAGTGCTGACCAGGGTGACTGTTTTACTCTCTGATCTTTAGGCAAGCTTTATTTATTAAAATACCAATGAAATATCACTACAGTCAATAATTTAATTTATATACTAAAAGAAAATCTCATTTTGGGGGGCTCAATTTTGCCCCAAATTCAAATATGTCTGGCCCCTTTTTTAAAAAATCAAAAGGCTTCAGGTAAGACTTACTCTGGCAGCTCAAAATGATCTTTTTTCTTAACCCCACTTCTGGGATATCGGCTGTATTCTTAGGCAGTTCTTCATCAGTGTCCCTGGTAGCTGCAGGGGGCTCCTGGGAGCCCAGCTTTCTCTTGGTCCAAGTACAGATGACAGGGAGAATCTGCTCTTGGTGCCTCACTCAAAAGTCCCAGAGCAGAGCCCCTTGAGTGCTAAGTATCACCATTTGGACTGTGTGCAGACCGGTTTTCCATTGCTCATGGGGGTGCTGGGGAAGGTGCGTATCAATTGTAGGTTGGCATCAGGCATCATAATCAACTGAAAGACTGGCTGGGAGATGATTAATTAGCAAGGCACTTGGCATTGGGCGCAGCAACAGGAAATAACGGATGTCCAGGTAGCCACTGAGCACAGCAGATTCTGGACACAGAAGAACAGGGCCAGCTACCCGCACTCTGCGCAGAACCTCTCAGCCTAGAAGCACTCAGTGCTCACTGCGCATGTTCACCTTTGAGCTTTCTCTTTCCCGGCAGATCTGGCAGTTCAGCAGCCTCTTCTCCAAAATCAAGAGCTGGGAGTTTAACGAAGTCACCTCCATGTCTGAACACCTGAAAACCTGTCCTTTCAATGTCGTGGAGCACAGGACTGACCCGATCCGTTTGACCAGCATGTGTCAGTCCCAAGAGCAGACCCGGGAGAGTTTGGTGTCCATGTTTAGGGCCCGAGCACGGGGTAGACACACCTAAAGATCTGCATGCCACTGCTCCTGGCTTCTCGGGGCAACTGAAAGTGGGACACTGCGGGTTGAGAACATCCCTCTGAAACCCACATATCTGCTTCACTGGGTCGTGAGAATGTGTGAAATCCTTCAGACCTTAGCAACTGCACTAGGGCACTAGCTTTCTGAGCTACGGCTTGTATGATGGTGCCCCATTTTTGCCTTATCTTAGTTCTTTTCATTTCCTAAAATAGGTCAGTCTGAGAGAAAATAAGTAACTTAAGGCCATTTGAAAAATGAACCCATCCTTAGTCGACTAGAGAACCAGGAAATTCTGTAACCATCATAGACTAGTGATTCTCCATTGTGCTATCTAGTTTACAAACCACCTTCAAGTTCTTGGAGCAGGCAATATGGTGACAGGGTCTGAGGTGCAATGGCCTCCCAGGGTATCCTAGGTAGCGGGAACCCAACTGGAAGGTTCTAGAGCATGGTCTTTCTTGAGAGTCAAGGGCCATTTAGTAACTCTACTGCATCAAAGCCCAAATGGTTCCAACACAACCCAGCAGGACGGACCACACTGGGTGAGCACAGCTATTTCAAGGACACCACAGGCCAAAGCAAAACAGTCAGGTGTGTAGTGTCTTGTGTAAGAAAGTCCTTAAAATGAAGGAAAGGCCAAAGGTCTCCGAGAACAAAGTCACTCCTGGTTGACAGCCACTGTCCTCAAGGATACTACACCAGCAATGCTCCCCTTTTAGTGGGACAAATCAGATCTCATGGAGCTACTCAGTGGCCATAATTCAATGCGACACTTACTTGTTTACAAAATAAGTTTTAAAGATGTGGTGATCCTAAATTGAAAATCACATGGAACTGATCTACTCAATATGGCTTTGAGTCCTCTGGCCACAATGAAAGAATATACTCTCCCTCCCTGGCCTATTTAAGGAAACTGGAAACCTGGAACCAGAAAAGTAATTTATCTTAGGTTAAGTTGCTATTCCCTTAAGAGGTGCCATTTTCCAACAATCCTAGAAGTTCTCAAGCTAATGGAAAACAAGACAAAGGGAGGCCAGAAATCACAGGGCACTGGCCAGGCAGCACAGGGAACCACCAGCCAAGAATCCAAATAATGAAGGAGACTTGCCAACCTGTGAGCTTGTTGTCTGGGCATCTGTTTGTCTGACCATGGTTCGGAACAGTGCAGATGAAGGAGCTGGTGCAGATGAAGGAGCTGGTGCAGACGAAGAAGCTGGTACCTCTGCAAGGAGTCAGGCAGGCAGCAACAGAGCAAGCCCAAACTGAAAGTGTGCTCACTCCTCTCATCCCATTGTTAGCACGATGCTAGGCCTCCTAATCTTTATAGTTTGGTTCAGATTTCACCATTTTTTTTTGCGAGTCATTTTCTAAAACTGTATCTAGAGTGTTCTCTGATACTTTGTTCAGTGAAGATGAGTAACTGAAAACAGCTAAACAATGAAGAAGGCAAAAAGAAAGCCAGTTCTTCAGGCATCAGTTCTGGCTTCTTCCCACGCAGTGGAATGGAGTTCCCAAAGCCCTCTCAGGGTTTCTTATTAGAGAAGGAGAACTACAGATCTTGGACAAACCCAGAATGAGCCAGAAGCTGCAGAGAGACAGAGAGGCCACAGGACTCTGACCCGATAACACGCACTGCTGGAGGCAACCTGGCCAAGGAGAGCAGTCAGGGCACCCACCCTGATTGGGGTGTGGATAGTTCAGCCACATGTTCCCCCACCAATTCCTGTCTCAGAGCAGTACATCTGAGATGACATGATCAAACATTTTATAAGGGAATTCATTGTTTATGTTAAAGGAAATCAAGATACCCCAGGAATTCCCTGATCCCTAGAGATACACTCACTTAGTAAGAAGACGGAAGACATAGCAAAAAGGACCTTTTCAGAGGCACTGGGCTTGATGCAAGGCTTAAGTTTTAAGCAGCAACTGAGGAGGGTGAAGAGGGATGTATCGCAAGCATAGAGCCTAGGCAGGAAGACATCCCTGAGCAGAGTCCTTCGATGAAAGGCAACTGAGAGGTGGAAAGTAATAGAATGTGGGGGAGGGGGATAGAATAGAGCCACAAATGACTTGTTCCCTGAGCAGCATAGGGACTTGAGAAGGAAACTTATCGAAGCAGGAAAGGTCAAATGGGAAGCAAGAAGAGAATTAGAGGGAGATTTACAGCAACAGCACTGCACAAGTCTAATGTATGTGCGATGCCAAATCAAACTGAAATGGAGAACGCGGTTTTCTGCATCTATGGTGACTGACTTCACATGTACACCAGCAACCCCAGGGTCTCTCTATTGGGAAATAAAAGCTGCTTTGTACTCTGAAAGGAGTTGTGGAAATTTAACTGTGAAGGTGTGTTCCATTTGTTTATACTGTCGAACATTTAACTGTGTAAAGGTGTGTTCCATTTGTTTATGCTGCATTTGTTTAATTATGTAAAGGTGTGCTGCTGCTTCACTGTGCCTACCTAAGGCACCTGATTGGTCTAATAAGAAGCTGAATGGCCAATAGCTAGGCAGAGAAAGGATAGTTGGGGCTGGCAGACAGAATAAACAAGAGGAGAAATTTAGGCTTGAGGGAAAAGAGAAAAAAAAGAGAGAGTGAGAAAGAAAGGGACACCCCTAGAGCAAGAAGCCAGGCAGTCACCAGACAGACAGAGAGGGCAGGATGCTCAGGGAGTCACTTTTTGCTGCTCGTGGCTGCCTGGGTGTCCTCATCTCTTTTCCTATCCATTCTAACTCTGGACCGCACAGAGGTTTCATGAACTGTCTCCATCTACCCTTTCCTGGGCATGGGTTCCAGCGGTCCTGGTGTCAGGGAGTCTGGACCTTCTCCCAGTCACTCCGCAGCTCACTTGATTTTGTTCAACTCACTCTCCTTTGGTGTCAGTCTCTTCCTTCTTTCCTATTTCCATCCCTCTAATCTGAATCTGTGCTTTTGCCTCAAGAACTCACCATGTTCCAGGGGGTGGGGAAATGGCTCAGTTAGTGAAGTGCTTGCCTACCAAGCATGAGGCCCTGAGTTTAATCTCCAGAACCCATGTAAAACGCCATTTTACATGGCATTTGCTGATAATCTTAGAGCTAGGGAGGCATACACAAGAGGATCCCTGGGGCTCCCTGACCAGCAGAATCTAGCCTAATTGGGGAGCCCCAAATCAAAGAGAAATCCTTCTTTAAAAGTGGGTTACATTCCTGAGGACTAACAGCCAACATTGCCCGCTAGCCAACACACACACCTGTATACACTTGAACCCACAAGTGCACCTGCACATATTTACACACACACACACACACACACACACACACACACACACACACACACACACAAAATCACCATGTGCTGAAAAAGTCTGGTTGTTTTCCCAGCCAGGAAGCTAACTTCAAACAACAGCTTAAAGCCTTAATCTGGATGTCACCTGACCCGGCCACTCCACATTGCTGCCATTGGGCGTGCTGGTTTGTTTTTCTCAACTTGACAGACTTAGACATATTTGGGAAGTAATGTTAACTGAGAAAATGTCTCCATAAGGATTTCTCCATAGGCAAGTCTGTAGGACTTATTTTCTTAATGGTTGATATGGGCAATGCCCCGCCCACTGTGGGTGGTACCATTTCTGGGTGTGTAAGAAAGCAGGCTGAGCAAGCCGTAGGGAGCAAGCTAGTAAGCAGCATTTCTCGCTGTATCTCCTTCAGTTCTTACCACTAGGTTCTTGCTCTGAGGCCCTGTTCTGACTTCCCTCAGTGATGGAGTGTGATCTGGGAATTGTAGGATGAAATAAACCCTTTCCTTCTCAAGTTGCTTTTGGTCATGTATTTTTATCACAACAGTAGAAACCGTCAGTCAGGCAATAATAGGCTTGTCTGCTTTGGACAGGAACTAAGGTACAGCCACATAAACAGGCCTAGCTTCTGACTACTAAGGCACAGGATTCGGACAATGGTAAGAGCACCACATCCTAACCACAAGACTAGAGAGAGTCTTCTGGGTTCGTGTGGATGAGGGATGTAGAGTCAGGGCCAGAGAGGCCTCACTAAAAGCACCACTTACCCCAGTACAAAGCTAAGCCAGAGTCTCACTTTATTTTCAGTTTTATGTCTAAATAGAAAAGACAGTTCTAATTTTTCTCCTACGGGAAGGAAAATAAGCAAAAAAGCACAACCAGGCAAAATCAGGCTGCTTAGCAAGAACTTCCCTCAAGGCTAGCATACAGGGGAATGCCAGCACTCAAGAGGGAGGAGAGTAGAGTGAGGTGCTGGGAAGGAGGCAGGATCACAGATGATGCTATGAGTTATCCCAGGGAAGAGTGGATGCAGAGGGAGGCCCCTGCCTCAGGCTGCCTCTACCTAAAGCTCTTAATAAAGCAGGAGAGGGAGGTCTGTCTGAACCTCAGGCGCACCATGGCATGCTATTAGGTCCTTGCAGCAGTCCTATGGAGTGGGTAGGAGGAGGCAGAACCACTTTGAACCTGGGGAATTGGAGTAGCAGAAGACAATGGGGCTGCTCACTAGAGGAGCTTGACATAGTTTGCAGGAAAGAGTCCAAAGTTGCCATGGCAACGGCCCCGCCACCAGCCTTCATCCACCATCTCAATGTCAGTGATGATGTCATCTGGATCAAAGGAGAGCTCGTCGCTTCCCTCTGGGGAGGAAGTTGAAGAGACATTAGGATGGTTAGACAGGAACCCCTCCGTGCCTGCCTATGCCAACTCAAGCCTCAGGGAAGGAAACAGGCCCGGCTCTCAGAACCCACCCCTTTTCCTATGTGTCAGGGGCCACAGGTGTGCCAGGCCCTTCAGGCGGCTTCACGCTTACCTCCTTGGTAATCATACAGGGCTACAGCAGAGGTCCCGGTACCACCAGCCCCGGCTGATGATCCTGAATAATGAGAAATATAAACATTACATGGAGAAAGCAAAGAGACATAATCTCATTGGGCAGAAAGGGTAGACTCCCCCTCCATCACTGATGCCCAGAAACTGACCACATTTGGGAGCTGCTTTCCCCTCCCCATTCACCCCACTCACCAGCCTCGTAGGACAGAGAAGGGGTGACCTCGGGCTCCAGCACATCCTCATAGTCCCCCTCTTCCTCCTGCCGATCGGGCTCCCCAACGTCCTCATAGTCATTCTCAGGATCCAGCTGAGGCTCTTCTTCATACACTGGCTCGTCCACCACCTGGAGGCCTTCGGGAGTCCTCGGGGGCAGAGCTGGGGGCTCCTCGTCCTGAGGAGAGATGTGTGGGCCAGGAGGATGCAATGATGACCTAGTGGGGTTGCTAACACCCTTGCCACCCCCAACTTCTTCCCTCTGTTTAGAAGCCTTTCCTCAGAAACAGTCTGCTCTTCACTCCCGGTCTCCTAAAGCATTTGTCCTCTCAAAGGAAGTGACAGGAGGGGACTCAAGATGTGAGGTGAGGGGTGTGGAAATCAAGGCAGAGCCTTTGGAAAACCAGAGGAACAGCAAAGCAAAAGCACACTGTTGGGCGACCACGGCTAAGAGAACCAACTGTCCAGGTTTGCTCAGGACAAGGGAGTTTCCAGAATGCAGGGCTTTCAGTGCTAAAACCAGAGTAAGCGAAGCTGGAAGACTGGCCGCCCCTATACAGCCCAAGACAGGAGAGGATAGTGTGGGACACTGCTTACCTCCGGGGGATACTGTGGTGGAGTCTGCATCCTGGGCAGAGAGGGCACGGCGTGTTCTTTTCTGCTTCTCATGGGTTCAGGTTCTGGGGGGGTGTGACTCTCTGCTGGAGGCCAGACCTGAAGAACAAGGGGATGGCTCCTTCATCTTTAGTTGGCACAGCAAAGGGTACCTGTTGCAGCTGGTAACCACTTGGCACAGTGAAGGCTACCGCTTGTAGCTGGTGACCTGCTAGCTGTCAGACTCTAACGGATAGAGTCTATAAATCTTGATGGCTTTGTTGTTGTTTTCTCTTGACCTTTTACTACCTGGGACCAATTACACACATGGAATCTTAGCAAAGACAAGCACAACAGACTCTGCTCAGCAAGGGAGACATCTGCCTTCTATTTTATTTATTGATTTTTGCCTATCACTTGGACAGCTGGAACACTGGTCAGGTCAAGAGATCTTGGACCCCCAGTAACCATGCACTCACCTCTGAGGAGATCTTCTTGGGCAACGGGGCCGGCACTGCTGGCTCTTCCACAGGCCTCGGTGGCTGCTGAGCTTCACGGCTCATCCTCACCACAGCCTTTCGCTCCTGTTGCTGCCTGGCCATCTGCTGTGCCTTCTCTTCTTCCTCTCGCTTCCTCTTCTCCTCAGCCATGGACTCAAATTTTGCTTTCAGCCCACGGGCACCACTGGAAGCTGCAAACACAGATGAGGAAAATTAAGGGTGTCTTGGATTGTGAGTGGAGAGAGGAAATGGAGCTTAAAGAAAGGAGAGAGATCTGTGATCTGTTAACTATGCAGGAGGAAATAAGATGAAGAGGTGACTCATGGAGGGTGTTGGGGGCGGCGGACCCCTGGCCCCTTGACTTTCTCTGCCTGCCTCAGACCCTTTGCCTGCTGGAGAGAACGGAGAAACCAACTTGTTTTCCTGTGCCTGCAGCTGCTCTGAGCACGAGACCCTCACGAGTTCCTGATGGCACGGGAAGTGGCTTCTGGTGGGTTTTACAGCTGGAAATCCCAAGAGGTTGGGGCGTGGTTATCAGTTAAGGGTCCCTATATAAGCTTCCCTGGAGCACAGTAAAGTTGGCATTCTTGGTTCAAGGATGACCCATGTCCCCGTGTCTCTGTCTATGTGCGTATGTATTTAAATCTCCAGCCCCTCTCTGGCTTGTGTACCATCCCGTAGTGCAGGCGCTGCAGGAGGGGACGGTACAGAGGTTGTGAGAGGACACTAGGACCTGGGCACCACATGGCACTGAAGCCCAGGTTCACTATGACCAAAGGACCAGCTGTCCTTTTAAAATTATGAGTTCCTGACCAGCATCTTACTCAGTCGATATTCTTTAAATCTATATCTCTCCACCCACCACCACCCTATCCCCCACCCTAAAGATCTCCTCTGTATCTCCCAGCAAACGCCTCACTCTTGTCTCTGTGTGTCTCTGTCCCTAGTTCCTTCCCTAACACCACTTCTCTTGTGTTATAGGAGACAAGACTCTGGATCGATGAGAGTAGCGCTCTCACCCTCCTTGGCTTATCTCGGTGGCCAAAGGCATGCAAGGGATAGTCTTGGAGAAGAGAGAATCAGCAGAGAAAGGAGGCCGAAGGGTACTAAAGAAGGGAATTAAGACTAACCGGCTTCTATGGGGGTGGTCTTCTTATAGGCTGTAGTTGGGGCCTCCATTTCATTGAAGCCAACGGCACTCTGCAGGCAGAAGAACAGTGTATATAGTCAGGGGAAGCAGAAGGGTAGTGATCCATGAGTCAGAACTGGGGGAAAGAGCCACCCTTGAAGGCATCCGTAGCCATGTAGTAGGTAACAGTTGGACTGGGTGTTCAATATTATCTGGTGGGAGAGAGAAGGGTAAAGAACTCTACTCGTGGGCTCAGCTCCCCCTTTGAAAGCTCAATGGACTTAGAATTTCAAGTTTCTGAGCCCAGTTATATCTAAAATGGAGCAAGGCCGTTGCTCACACAGGAAGAGGAGCCGTTGAACATACAGTATGGTAACACAGAGCAGGAAGAGACAAGACAGGACTAAGAAATGCCTGAAATGTCATGTCCAATCTCCCTAGTGTCTCCCTTCCCGCGCTAAGTCTCTGCCCCCTCCACTCTTCTCAGAAAAACCTCAGGTTATAGAATTTGTGCTCCTTGGTGACCCAGCTCCAAGAGTTCCCTTTGTCTCCTGGCTTCTCCTTTCTCCTGCTATCCTCCGTGCACCTCCATTACCACAGAGACTCTCCCGAGACCATGGTATCCTCCGTTTACCTTATCCACTCGGTCCTTCTGGATTCCATATTGGCCACCAAAGCCCTTGGCATAGTCTGTGGGAAAGAAAATTCTGCTAGTGAAAAATAGGAGATGAGAATGTTGGGGATGGGTGGGGAGAGGGAGCAGACGGACAGGGAGACAGGAATGTGGAAGGCAGAGAAAGAGGAAGAAATGTCAGAGAGAGACAGGGATGACAGGAAGAGAAGGAAAAGGGTTGAGGATGGAGGTAGGGGGCTCGGGAGAGAAAGGAGAGAGAGGTGGAAAGAGAAAGCACAAAAGAAATGACGAACAAGGCAAAATACAAGGAAATAAACAGGAAAACAAGGCGAGTCCTCCAGCCATGGCTGCTGAGTCCCAGGTAAGAGCTCTCTGTCCCCACGAAGCCTTACTGGCCTGTGATACTCACACCAAGCCGCCCATTACACTGCCTGGCTCCACTCCTTTCCCAATCCCTTTCCTCCTTGCCTCTTCTCTGCCCTGCTTCCAATCCTGGTGTCCTGTCCATCCACACTGACTCTCCTCGGCCCTCGCCTTATTCTGGGACCTCCCTTCTCCCAATCCAACTTACTTACCTCGCTGAGACTCGTGCTTCTCCGTCTCCCCCTTGTAGTCATATCCTAGAGCTGCTTTGTCCCGTTTATCCTTCTCTACTCCATAGCGGCCACCAAAGCCATGAGAGTAATCTGCAATAGACAAGGGTGGCATGAGAGCCCAGCCTTGGCCCGCTGGAAAACGCGCGCATGTGTGCACAAGTAGTCTACAGGCATGAACGCAGGGTGGGAGGGCAGGAAAGGCTCAGAGCTCAGATAGTGGTGAGCTAATTTAACCGGGATGACGCCCCTCACCTCCATCCCAAGACAAGAAGATCCCTCTCGATATTTTCCAGGAAAGGCTGTGTATAGAGAATGTGAGCAGAGATCTCTGGGATAAAAGGCAGACATAGGAGATGCATGCTGTCCCTCCACCCCCATAGAAACAGAGAAATCTCAGCCAAATATAGTAACTTTAAAGTGGTGAAACTCAGAAAGGAGGAGGAGGAAGAGAAGGAAGAAAGGAACAGATACAAGAGAAGGAGGAAAAGAGGGAAGATGGGGGAAGGATGAAATGATCCTGGCTCCAGAAAGAAATGCAAGAATTGAAGCTACATAAATAAGTATGAGAGTGACAGTGAGCGGACATCACAGAAGCCCCAAGGGCTTTAAAGTCAGCGTTCAGTGAACTGGGATTAAGACCTAGGGTCTGTGGTTCTAAAATCTACTCAAGAGTGGGCATGGGAGCTGGAAAGGAGGTTCTGCCCAATCTTAAGAAAAAAAAAATGTCTAGAAAAATGCTGCTCACTTGTACAGGCAATAGCAAGGTGTCTTGTAGTCTGTCCAGTTTTGACAAGGGGAAATTTTACCAGTAATATTTGGAACTCTAGTTCTACATCTGAGCGTGGAATGTAACTACACGTTTTTCCCCAATTAATAGGATTTAGGAATTCTAAGCGAAGAAAATAACTTAAATAGTGATCCAGAAAATACATACCGAGAAGGAGGGTTCTGGGAGGTGTGTCAGTCAGCACAGTCCATGTCAATATGAGGACCCGAGTTTGGGTCCCAAGAGCACAGATACAAAGCTAAGTGTGACAGTGTATGCCTGCGACTCTAGAGTGGCAGAGACGGGACAGGATGTCTGGAGCTTGTTGACCCGCTGGTCTTGTCAAATCTAAGATCTCCAGGTTTAGGGAGAGACCCTGTCTCAATAGTTAAAGTGCACAGCGATCAAAGAAAATGCCTAACACTGACCTCTGACTTCTGCATGCCTCAGCACATACATGCACTCATACACATGAGCAAGCACGCACAAAGAGAATATATATGTGGAAAGAATAGCATAAGGAAGGTAGCGTGAACACAACACAAAGTAGACTTCAAGAAAGAATGCATTCTAAAAGGCAAGAGGGACACAGCATCATCCATCAGGAATAAGTACAGTGGAATAAATCTAATAGAATCAAAATTCATGAGGCAAAACCTGAGAGAAACAGTAAGATAAATAGACAAATTTATGGTCATTGTTGAAAATTTAAACCTCCTGAACAAAAATAACCATCAATAAAATTATAGAAGATCCAAATAACTTTGTCACTAAGACCTAGCTAGCGAAGTGACTAAGCACACTCTGTCCCAAACTACACAATCACACATAGGTCATGTGCAAGACTGAAATACTGGAAATCATTTTTTGATCTCAATAAAATTAAAAGTCAATATCAATAAAATGATATGGCAAAAATTCCTCAATTTAAGAAATAAAAATACATAGTTTCAGCTTATTAGACACATGGCAGGCCCCATGTTCTAGAGTAGTTGGCCAACACAAGTTGGATTCCATGGTTTTGTGTATGTGTGGTTTTGTTTTGTTTGTTTCAAGAGAGAGAGCATGAAGTTGGGTGAGCAGGACGGATCTGGGTAGGATTGGGAGAGGGGAAAGAATATGATGAAAATATATTGTTTGCCATGACCAAAACAGTGGGGGGCTGGAAGGGAGCTGTGAGCAGGTGGGCGACCCTCCAGGTGGTCAAGGCACTGGGTACTCACCTTTCTGAGATGCATGCTTCTCCACTTCTCCTTTGTAATCAAAGCCCACTGCTGACTGAGGAGGAGAGAAATGATTGGTCAGCGCTGTCTGCTTCCTCCCTCGCTGTACCCTTGCCTTCAGTCCCGGAGGCAGTGCTAGGGACCTGCGGCTACTGCTTCCTCCCTGGCTGACTTACCCTTACCCTGTGGCTAAGTTTGGAAGTTGAAAGTAGAAACAATGCTACAAAGCAGTCATCATGGCCTCTGGACCAGACCACGCCAGATCCAAATCCCACTTCCCCCATTTGTAATTGGTTAGCTTTGGGATTATTCAACATCTCTGAGCACTGGTCTCTTTAAATAATATTAGATGTCTAACCCACTACAGTGGTAAATGGAGAGAAATGCTCTCTCTTCATCTGGAATAATAATGACACCTCAACAGAGCAAGGTATAGTATCTGCTGAGTTAGCAAGGAATCAGCACTTTTTCCCCTCTAGGTGAGCCTCACAAACTAAAATGAGACAATAGGTTGCAAAGACCCTGCAAACTAAAAGCTATGTGTGCCTATGGGTGCCTATGGACTAGTCACCTGACTCCCACTGAACTGTGCAGGTCTCAGCATGGCCTCACAGGGATGCAAAACACAGATTTTGGTGGGATGGGATCGACGTCAGTTCCAAGACCTAATACATCCTGGGAGCTGTGTCCCCATTTGCTCAGTAACTATGGGTTTCTAAGCAAAGCTTGGTTTTGTATTTTAAGAACTAGTCTCTTGGTTTCCCTGCCCCCCTCTTCCTTTCCTTCCCTCCCTCCTTCTCAGGGTCTCCTATACCTGAGGCATAGGCAAGGATGACTTAGGACACGAGGAAGACAGAAGATAGTTAATTCTTAGATAACCAGAGAGCAAGGAAGAGAGGTCCTGGATCAGATCAGGCTAATGTCTAGGTGCCTCCACTTTAGATCCGAGGTAGTTTACTCCAGGACTCTCGCCCAGAAGAGATCCCCCTATTGCTGAGGCTTTTCCTCTCTGGCAGGCCACTGGCCTAACTCCTACTTACCCCACTCCCACTGAGAGCCACAGATAACCCACCACGTAGGTTTGGCTGGGCAAACTCCATGAAAGGAGGCTAGCTGCACTGTGGGTTGCTGAAAACAAGGCCCTGTGGAGTCCTGTGGGTTTTATGCTCTGCAATTTTAAAGGTCCCCAAGACAGTCACACCTAGTCAGGGCCTTGCTGTTATTTAATAAGACACAACCAGCTAAATGCATCCTGCCGAGACCAAGCAGAAGTGGAGCCCAGCTTTGCTCCACACCCAGTTAAGAAGTAAATAATCCCAGGCTCCCTGCACATCAAGAAGATCACGTTCCCTCTCTAGACACACACATATTCATCATGCGGGGGCTCTGACTTTGTGTGTCCCATGCTATCTTCACTGCAACAAATCTTACATGTGGTTGACATGGCAGGCATACTTCTCCTGTAACTCTTGATGGACAAATGGACTTGTGGAAGGAGAGCTAGCAGGAAACACATTTCTGATCTTCTACTTCTACCTGGGAGTATGTCCAACATACCTGGTTTATGAGGCACTGAGGTGGTCCCCATACCCTAGGCTAGCAGCTACCAACTGAGCTACTTCCCCATTCTCTAGTCTTTCATTCATGTTTTATGGACATGTGAACTGTTTAGGTGATGCAATTTGTGCTTGCAAAACAACAACTAGCAATAAGGGGTTGGGCAAAGACCACTAGAAGGAAAGCCAAGACCTAGAAAATTCTTCCTTGTTTCTAGAACCATATACGCTCCACATGACATCATTGCCTTTAAATGTGTTTACAGCATGTTTTGAACTTTCTCAGTTTTGTTTGGGGTGTATTTTCTCCTACAGTGCAAACAATTATTATCCAAACACTTTGTAGCTTGGATTCAGGCCTACCTGCTAGTAATAATAACAATAATAATAATAAAAATAATAATAAACCAGATGTGAAGATTCTCTAGCCCATTCCTCCCTCCCTCCCCCTCTCCTTCTCTCTCCATGGCTTCCTCCCCTTTTCAGATGAGACTCTAACCTGTGCCATGAAAGGATTCAGCTCCTGATATCGTAAATTGGAATTTAAAGTGTCAAGGATGGCCAGTCTTGCTCCTTCCATTGAATGAGCTGCACCCATTTAGAACTGCCTTTTTTTCTCTTTAAAGCTACTCTTGTATACAAAGGAATCTCCATCAACACCCCAGCTTCAGGGATTTTTGTTCAATCCTTCACCTTTTCAGAGCATTGCCATCCTAATGAATTAACCAGTTTACTTGCTGATTTTTCTTCTCTGCTAATGCCTTGAGACATTTTTATTGAGATCTGAAGAATCTTTGCCTATTAACTGACTAAAGGAGGCTTTGTTGATGAACCCTGGGCCTCTCCTGGGCAAGGCCAGAGCTGCACTACAACCCCAGCCCTGGCGAACTTAAATGGATGCTGATGCTTCACACACAGCCTCACCACCACCAACCCTGCTGAGACAGGTCATGAGATCTGTCCTGTACTCAGTGCCAGTACCAGACACTCATGGCCTCCACTGTCCTGTCTTTCACCTAAAGAAACATGGACCTGCATTTAGGACTGAGTGTTGGTAAGGCCCACAAAGCGTAAGGGCTAAGACAGAGGGGAAAGTTGTCACTTACCTTGTCTGCCCGGTCCCTCTCAACTCCATATTTGCCCCCAAAGCCTCTGGCAGCATCAGTCTGAGAAGAGTGTTTCTCCACATCAGCGACATATTCGTGGCCCACAGCACTCTAAGGAAAATCAGGAACGGTGTATAAAAGATTACAATGACCTTACAAAATCGAGATGGCAAATGGATGTCAAGATACAAAAAAACTCCCTTTTGGGTCAGATCTGTATCCTTTGACAGTGGCACCAAGGGACCAACGATGGGGGATGCTGGTGTGGGACAAATGTCTATAGTCTGTCAATCATATTTTAAATAAATATTGATTGGCCAGTAGCCAGGGAGGAAGTATAGGTGGGACAACCAGACAGAAAGTAGAGGCGGGTCAATGAGAACAGGAGAATTCTGGGAAGAAGGAAGAAGTCCATTCCTCTGCAGTTTGGGCCCAGCCACAGAAGAAGCAAGATGTGACTGCATTACTGAAAAAGGTACTGAGCCATGTGGCTAACACAGATAAGAATAATGGGCTAATATAAGTTGTAAGAGTTAATAAGAAGCCTGAGATACTAGACCAATCAGTTTATAACTAATGTAGACCTCTATGTGATTTCTTTGGGACTTAACCACTGTGGGAACCGGGCAGGACAGAAAACCTGACAACAGAATGCAGTAACTTTCTGTAGAGCAGTGCCCATCCCAGAATCTTTTTTCACGTCACTAGAGAGCCATTGCTCAGAAGCCTCCAGGAATGTACTGGAAGTCAGAAGATAGAGAAGAGATGGCCAGAGCAGTGTTGAACCCAAAATAAGGGAGAGGAGAGCTCAAACAACAGCACTGCAGAGCAAACCAAAGGAGCAAAGCTTGGGTGCATCTAGAGGCACTGACTAGATGCCACGACCGAGGCTGACACGTCTTCACTCCATCAACCAGGGACTTTGTCCTAGATCTTTCATCGTTTGAACAACCAAAGTTCAGAAGGGAATTCTGAAGTTTTCAATGTACATATAAAAGATTGCTAAACCGGGCGGTGGTGGTACACGCCTTTAATCCTAACACTTGGGAAGCAGAGGTGGGTGGATCTCTGTGAGTTTAAGGCCAGACTGGTCTACCAAGTGAGTTCCAGGACAGGTTCCAAAGCTATAGAAAAACCCTGTCTGGGAAAAACAAAACAAAACAAAACAAGGATTGCTAAAGGGCTGAGGAGTGGCTCACTATATAAGAGTCCTTGTTCTACAAACATGAAGGCTTAAAATCAAATCTCTGGCACCCACAAAAAAAGTGAGGCATGGCTACATGTACCTATGGCCCCAGCATGGGAGGGTAGAGACAGGTAGATTCTGGGAGCTCCCTTCCCAGCCAGCCTGGGTGATGTGATGAGCTTCACACTCAGTGGGAAATCCCACCCCAAGGCACTAAGGCAGAGAGCTGGAGAGGAAGACATTTGACATCTTGCTGTGTGACTGCCACTTGTGCATACACACATGCACTCACCGCCCCCACAACCTGCACGCATGCTTACAGCACATACAACACATGCATACAACACACATACACACATAATCACATAATACACTAAGGCAGTGGTTCTCAACGTTCCTAATGCTGTGACCCTTTAATACAGTTCCTTGTGCTGTGGTGACCCCAACCATGAGATTATTTCATTGGTACTTCATAACTGAAATTTTGTTACTGTTATGAATCATAATGTAAGTATAGGATATGCAGGACCCCAAAAGGGTTGTAACCCACAGGTTGAGAAAAGAAAATAAGAGAAGTTGCAATACAGACAGAATACACAGCATTTAAAGGCAACAAATAAGTCTGTAGCCTATTTTCCCTCCTCCACTAATGTTCCCTGCTTTCTAGCTTCATTTCTGTTTCTGTGATTAGAATACCTTCCAAAAGACACTTTAAAGGAGAAAGGTTGTATTTGGTTACAATTCCAGGTCAAGGCAGGAACTTAAGGGAACCAGTCACATTCACAATCAAAAGCAGAGAGAGAATAAATGCATGTAGACTTGCTGACTAACTGGCTGTTTCTACTCTTCTGTAACACAGGACCCAAGCCCAGAGGGTGGTTCCGCCCATAGTGGGCTTCTCACATCAATTAATGTAATTAAGACAACCCCCAACAGACATGTCCACAGGTCAGTCTGACCTAGACGGTCCTTCACTGATGCTCTTTTCTGAGCTGGTTCCAGATTGTGTCAAGTTGTCAATTAAAACTATCCATCACCCAGGGTCACAGAAGGCCAGCTGCCCTAAAGTCTTGACTCTCTTTTCTGCCTTCTGTATCTTGTGTGGTGAGATCAGGGGGAAAAAAAGATACTAACAGCACACAGATAATTCCCCTTTAAAGCCCAAATAGACACCATATTTGGAACAAATTTTAAATCAAAGCACCAACAAGCTAGTCCTTTGCTTCTCATCATTTTCCCTCTAAAACAGACCTCTCCTTTTCTACTTACCTTGTCCATCCGGTCCCTTTCCACTCCAAACCGGCCTCCATAGCCATGGGATGCTTTAGGCCCCGACTCCAATTCCTTCTTCTTGAGAATGTCATGCTCCTCGGACACTTTGTTCCTCAGCTGGTGGATGCTGCAAGTAACCAGACACCTGAGGCTCACCTCATACAACAGACCCCTTCCCAGAAAAGCGGAAATCTTTTGTAACAAAACTCTGAGTCCCCCAAATATATCAGTGACAGGCTTGGAGTAAGAAATTGGTTCAACCAACATTTAAACATTCTAGAAGCCAAGATCCTGTGGTCTCTTATCTTTCTCACTAACATAACCTTGCCATCTTTAGTCCCGTTTTTCATGTTCTCATGTATCAGAGATGATACCTGTATGCTTACAACTGAGAAGTTTTCACTCTTTCTGAGAAGACCTGCCTTCAACCACTTAGGTGATCTGTCTCAAGAAACATAAATAAAAATATGCAAATACCTTTAGACCACTGTTCTAAGAGTCTGTCCCAGAAAAACATTTTTAAATATGGCAAAGTTTATTGTCTAGTAATTGAAACATTGCAGAGAGTAGCAAAAATAACCAATCCGTATGCCTAGTAACTGGAAAATAGCTAAGAAAATTAAAATACTATCTTTCAATAACACAATGGAAGTCATTAAAACTGATGCTTATAAAAATGTAGTTTCGAGTAAGTTTATTTATTCATTAGTATTAGTGTACTTTTATTAGTGTATTTTTTTTGTCAAGCATTAGCATTCTGCAACCTAAGCCTGATAATTTCTGAGAATAACAAACTCTCCTAGAACAGTTAAAGGCCCCATAGTTTAGGACTGGGACTCCACCTCTGACAGTTAGTGACACTGATGGGGGAGGAGGGACAAGAGGCACTCACCCCTCCACTAAGTCCATGCTCTTTTCTACGTTTACTACCATGGAGGCTGCAACACGGGAGGAAGCCACCGTCTATTTAGTCTGAAGATCTGAGCTGATCGATCTGCACCATGCCAACGAATCACAGCAAGAGCTCACAAATTTGGAAAATATGCAAGGACCCCTGGGCCATATAGAAATATCTGGGTGAGAGAACCCCACATGTTAGGGACCTGACTTTCTGCAGTAAGCAACGCTCTGGGGTAGTTACTGTCCTGGGACTCCATAGCTCAGCCCCAGCAGAGACTGGTTACAGGCAGAGTGACCGGCTCACAGTGGAGATGTTCTCCTTCCATGGAAGATTAGACCCATCTGCTGGTCTAGCGGGATAATCTCGCTGAAGCCTTTGTAAAAGCCTTTCAGCTTTAGCCACGGTTTATTTTAGAGAGCTGGCTAGGAACCAGATGAAATCAATCCGTCCGCGGTGCAGGCACCCAGTGTTCCCATGCCTCACCTGACCTCTTTGGCAGCAGTGAGAGCAGAGATCCAACGAGACAGCAAAGGCCTCAGAGCTGCCTGGGTCTGAAACGGAGCGGGCTCCAAGAGGTTCCCAACTGAGGTATTCAAGGCAGAAATGGAGGGCTGGGGACAAACATTGTTTGCAATCGAGAAAATATGCAAATCTGCCTACTGAATGACAGGCTAGTTAGGGGAATGTACCAACAGATGAGCTTATTTGAATGAAAAGGTTTTGAACAACAACAACAAAAATTTACAAATTTTGGGGGGTTTTTTGTGTCTTATTTTTGTTTGTGAGAAACAGTCTCACGTAGCCCAGGCTAGCCTCTACTTCAGGTAGTCAGGTTAGCCTCAACTCCCTGTGTAGCCAAGAATGACCTTGAACTCCTGAACTTCCCACCATTTCCAAGTGTTAGGATTACAGGCATCTGTAGCCACATCCAACTGAAAATCAAACTTTTTATAAATTTCTTTACCATATAGCTGAATCTATCTGAGTGGGTCTTAATATATAATCATTTTATTTGGTAAATATCAGTTAAACATCTGTGAGTGTAAAGCATTGCCAGGCTCTAAGGACGCAAAAGATTTCATGTATGGTAACAATGGACAGATGGAAGAGACACAGAAAAGCAACATGTTACAGCCAGGGTGTCAAGTGTCACACCAAAGGGGCTTTTGACACGTTGTCCCTGCTTCAAGCTTTCAAATGACTTGTATTGAGGAAGCAAGAGAATCAAACAAAAACTCAGGACTTCAGAGGTGAAAAGGGAGAAAAGGCAGCACTGTTGTGTTTTATTAGGAAATAAAAATAAAAGTATAAAGCTGAAATAATTCAGACTATAAAGTTTTTACTCCCAAACAATATGAGCATATGTTTAGAAAAGCCTAAATAACCCACAGAGTCACCGGCACTATTAAGGTACTTAATTACTTACAGGGTACAAATTCTCTTTATCAAAGTCAGCTGCATCTATCTACCAGTCACAGACATTTGAAAACTGAAAGTCAAAAGTAAGTTATGCTCATGACACAACACGAAATGTTTTAGGGGAACTTTAACAAAATATGAGTAAGATTAGAACATTAAATAATACTTCCGGAAAAAAAAAAAACAACCTCAAAGAAGATCTATAGAAGTAGAAGAATAGCTCAGGTTTGTAGATCAGAAAACCCAATACCATCAACATGCTTATTATCCCCTTAAATGGCCTACACCTCCAATCAAAATCCCAACAGGCTTCTCCTTTTTTTATTTATTTATTTATTTATTTATTTATTTCAGGAGCTGACTTGCTGGTTCTCAATGTATAAAATTATAAAAGTCTGGGATAGACAAGTCCTTCCTCTCTTTGCTCAGGGAATTCTGAGGAAGAGGGGGAGGAAGAATTGTAGGAACCAGAGGTGTCAAGGGCACCAGAACAGGGCCCACAGAATCAACTGAGCAGAGCTCATAGGAACTCACAGAGACTGAAGAGGTCATCAGGGAGCCTCCTCTTGTGGAGCTCCTAACAGCGGGAGTGGGGGAGTGTCCCTGACTCTTTTATCTGCTCCTAGGACCCTTCTCCTCCTATTGGGTTGTCTTGCTCAGCCCTGATGTGAGGATGTGTGTCTAGTCTTACTGTATCTTGCTATGCCGTGTTCCATTGATGTCTCTGAGAGGCCTGCTCTTTTCTGAAGGGAAATGGATGAGGAGTGGATCTGGGGGTCAGGAAGGTGGAAAAGAGAACTGGGCAGAGTGGAGGGAGAGGAAACTGCAGTCAGGATATATTGTAGAAGAGAAGAATAGTTTTTTAAAAAAAGACTAAATAGGAATTAAGGTTTTTGTATCAAAAATAAAATAAAATAAGATAACACAAAATCTTGAAATAGTAAGAAAAATGTTTTTAAGGAGAACACTATTGGAGTCCTGTTTGATTTCAGCGACTTACCACACAACTACAACAGTCCCTGTGTTGTGGTAACCTCACTACCAGGGCAAAAATATTGCTTAATGAGGCAGAATAAAGTCCCGAAATCAACCACACAGAAGGTCAAAGAAACCTGCTAAGTCAGCGGGAAAAGGACAGTTTGAATTTTGTTTGGCAAATGGATATTCATAGAAGATGAAACTTAATTTTAACTTCATATTGCACATAAATATTAAAAGATAAATTTTTAAATTGAACCAAATGTTAGAGACAATCTTGACACCTTTTTAAAATAGTTATTTTTTAAAAAAGATTTATTTATTTATGTATTTATTATGTATACAACATTCTGCCTCCATGTATGCCTGCATGCCAGAAGAGGGCACCAGATCTCATCACAGATGGTTGTGAGTCACCATATGGTTGCTGGGAATTGAACTCAGGACCTCTGGAAGAGCAGCCAGTGCTCTTAACCACTGAGTCATCTCTCCAGCAACTTTAAGAGAATTTTTCTTAGACAAAAAGACAACAACAAATAAAAAAACAAACCCACTAATTATAAAAATCTTTTAAAATAAACTAGACTTCCTCAGAATTCAAATCTTGTGCCTACAAAATTATGCCACCAGGAAATTAAAAGAACAATCATTACTCTTGGATAAAATATTTATAAAACATACATCTCACAAAAGATCTATTTCTAAAATATATAGAGAACTCAGTAGGAAAATAGTCCATTGTAAAGGTAAGGAGATATTTGAACAGACATTTTACAAAGAAGATGGAAGAAGAGACATGCATGGCATACAAAAAACACTTGATGAAGTTTACTTACCCAGGAAATATAAATTAAAATCACCACATACCCACAGAGTGACTAAAACTACCAACAATAATAAGTGTTGACAAGGACATGGATCATGTGAAACAAATACATTTCTGGCAGAAATAAACTATGGTAAATTCCTTTTGGGAAAACAGATTGGCAGTTTCTCAAAAGTAAACACACACTGACTATATAAACAAGCAATTAGATTTTTAAGAATAACCTAGGAAATAAAAAAATATATGTCAACAAAGAGATTTATATTCAAATGCTCATGATATGTTTGTAATAGACTTAAAAGTCCAACAACAGAGCAATGAATAAACCAAACTGTAATGTAGGTACACAACAGACACTATTTGACAGCAAGAAATAAAAGATCAATATATAAAACTTTCTAGTTAGATTTCAAAAACATTCTAATTAAAAAAAAGACCATCACAAAAGAGTATAGTGTATGTTATCCATTTACTGAAGTTCTAGGGACACTAGGCTTACTACCCTACACTGACAAAATACAGGTCAGTGTTTATTTGTGTACTGGCCAAGGAGACACTGAATACAGAGACTCGGAGAAGTTTCAGTGGTAACTGAAATCTTCTATGTTCTGACCCTACTGGTGATTACTTGTAGTATGATCAAAATTCATTGAACCATTTGTTTATAATTATTACACATTGACAACAATGACTTCTTTTTAAATAAGAAAGTATTAAGTGAATGATAGCTTTTATGTCCTCATAAATAGGCCCATGCTTATGCGGTGAGCATGGCATGTCATGAAGGCCAGACTATTTTTGTGAGATAGTTGATTATACTGGGTAAATATATGTCATTGTGATTGTTTAATAAAAAGCTAAACAACCAACAGCTAGGCAGGTGGTATAGACAGATATTCGGGACAGAGAGCTCTGGGAAGAAGAAAGAGGGAGTCGCCAACCGGATGCAGAGGAAGCAGAACACGCAGGAGAGGCAAAGCCATGAGCCATGTGACAGCAAGGAGATTAACAGAAATGGGTTAATTTAAGTTATAAGAGTTAGTTAGAAACCAGCCTAAGCTAAGGTTAAGATTTTATAATTAATAAGAAGTCTCTGTGTTGTCATTTGGAAGCTGGCTGGTGGACAGAGAAAGACTTGTTACAACTATAATGTACTTGGCTGCTTTAGACAGAACAGCAACCTTAGGGAAAGGGGTAGTGATCGTGGGAAGTGACATTCCATTTTAAAAAGAGAATTGTGGGCGTGACAAAATAGGTCTATTAGAAATGATATGGCATTAGGACCAAGGCCCATAGACTCAGGCTGAGCTGAATTCAAAGTATTTGTCTATATTATGTCTACATCCTTAGACAAATTGTGAAGATCAAGAATGAATACCTTACTTCTTATGCTATGAGAATGACATCATCATCTATTAAAGACAGGCATGACTGCATGATGGGTCACAGCTCAGTTCGTGTTGCCCTTCATTCTTATCCATAGCTGTGGTTTTCTTCATAGTAGCCCTGTGAGGTAAGGAGGCCGGTACTATTAACTCCAGTCGCATGGTTAATGCCCCGAGCGCTGACATAGCTGAGCTGGCTGCTGTCCCTGGACCTCCAGGGTTCTACTTTGAGGTATTGTGCCATTCTTCCATTTCTACTCAGTGCAGAATGGTAGGAGCCAGAAATCAGGTAAGCCACTGAGATGGGTACTTCTAGCTACTTCTCAGTGAGACCTAACCCAAAGGCTTCAGGAAGCACTGAAGGCCTTGTCCAGTGTAGTGCTGCCCACAGTACTGCTTACAGTGCATTCTGGGAGCTGACTTGTTCACAGTGCATTCTGGGAGCTGACCTCTTTCTTTTTACAACGAAAGAAGATAAAAATCAAGAGTTTGATTTTAGAAACACGAGCAAGAGTTTTGCACGGCGATCTCATATCTGTTGAATCTAAAAGTAAAAACTGTGCTTATATCTTTGATGTCATGGCTTTTCAGTTATATTTTATTTGACAAAAGTGTCAATGTTATGAATTTGATAACAGACACACAGAAGACAAAACCCTCTGTCCTCTCCCACAGTGAGTTTAAGAATCACTGTCTGAGGGTGAGAAGGATGTTTTACTAGTCAAGGGGTAAGACAGCAGGCAGAGGAGCAAGCAAGCATGGGGATGGGGTGGACAGCTCTTGATCTCTGGGCCATTTCTCTACACAGCTGATGAGGGACGGAAGAATCACTTAAGCTGGTCTCTGAATTAGAAAGCCACCCCCAGACTAAACTTATTCAAGGCTGACCTGAAAGATACAGTGGTGAGGGGGCAGGCGGCCCGCCTACTAAGAACCACAGTCACTTCCTGTTCCTGTTTTGAGTCAGCTCAGTCTAGCGAGCCCTTTCCACTCCAGTTTCCTTTCTCCTCCCAGTGTCTTGGTGAGTCCCACTTGACCATGGAGGGTGGCTCAGTGGGCCCTGTCCAAAGAAAGTTAGAGGCTTCACATTGGAGTGTCCCCTGGAGGACTGTTTGATCTGGGTAGGTAAACTGAGGATCAGAGAGGATAAAAAAGTTTCCCCAAGGTTACCTAGCCTGTTCCCATAGGGGATCCAAGCTTCTGTACCTTGAAGGCTTTAACAAATATACACAAGTAAGCCTTTGGGGACATAGCTCCATTTACTCTATGGATATGGATCTAGTTAGTTGGATATGCAGAGTCACCACAGTGGACGGCTTCAGGGACCCAAGTCAGAGCTATGTGTACAGTGCTATGCCAGGCAGCCATTTAGGGAGAAGGAAGTCTCGGCTGTTGCATAGTCGTGTTAAGTTTGGGGGCTGGGATTCTGATAAATCTCAATTAACAGAGTATAGAGATAGTATCACCAATGTACTAAAAAGTGCAAAGTACCAGCAGACACTGAGGTAGACGAGTCAATGAACTCTCAACCTGAACATTCGGGTAATTGCTATTATCCCCTTGAATTAATAAAACGAGCTAACTAAATTCATACTGCTAATAATGACAGAGCTGTGAACTGAATCAAAATCTTCCAAATGCAAGCTCTTCCCATGGGCCGGTGGCAGGACTCTAGAAGTCCTTAAAAGGTTCTGCTCTTACTGAACATAGAAGATGCAGGCTCTGGGAGGGGAAAACAAAGGGATACTGTTTCCCCATCTCAGTAGGTCCCAGAACACCAGGACGGGTGGCCTTCACTGAGAAAAGGAAAAGCCTCCCTTAACCTTCTTGAATCTGTGAGCTTTCAGGGGAATGAGCATTAAAGAAGCTTCTGGAAAGGCCCTGTTCCTATTCTTTTTCTTTCCCACACTGTACTTTCTAGACATGCTTGATTTGTTTAATATCTGGTTGGGGCTGGAGAGATGGCTCAGCAGTTAAGAGCACTGGCTGCTCTTCCAGAAGACCTGGGTTCAAATCCAGCACCCACAAGGCAGCTCACAGCTGTCTATAACTCCAGTTCCAGGGGATCCAACATCCTCTTCTGGCCTCCATGAGCACCAGAACCACATGTGGTACATGGCCATACATACTAACAAATGACCCTTACATATAAAAGTAAATAAAATGTAAAAAATAATATTTAATATAGCTACTTAAGTCAAACTATTTATGTTTGAATGGTGTTCAGTAATATTCCAGATCTGCCCAAATGTGTGCTAAGTTTCCTAAGACTATGGCAGTTGCAATGTGGTCATCACTGACACCTTTAAAATCTAGGGGGATATGATGCCAAAATATTGTGTGGGTGGAGGAGTTGGTAATGAAGCTGAAAATAGTCTTAATCTTGCCAAACTTAGGAGTGGTGTTAATTCATCACTTTCCAGCTTTTATTCTTAAAGCATTGCATTTACTTTGCCACTAAAATATGACAGCCTGGTACTACCCAATGCAATAGTCCTGCTTAGATGGTCCAGACTAGTCTGTAGACTGTGTGTCTCTCAAGGGCCAAGTACAATAGTCCACAGAAAACCCTAGATATGCCCATATTTGCTTCTCTCTTTTTGAGACAGAGTCTCATGTATTGTAGTGATACAATATTCTAAAAATATCTCCTACATCCTAAGAGATTAAAACTTTTGCTGGCCCTCACAGCCAAAGTTAATACGCCTTGAAATCACTTAACACTTAAGACCGCAAGCCTGTTAAACGTGACTCTAGGAGAACAATGTAACGACCAAACTTACTTGCCATCTGATCAATTCTTACAACCCAAACTAATGCACAGTTGCAATCTTAAATCATGTCCTCTTCTATGCCTCTGACCCAGACAATGCCTGTGCATCATATGCTGAAAGCAGCAGATACAGAAATTGAAAGCAACTTCCTGAAAAATGCCATAAAGGTTGAGGATATTGGTTGATAAACAATGATATTTGTTATCTGGGTCAGTTGGAACCAGAGACTTAATCCCATGTTAAACTCTGTTAAAGATTTTTTCCAAGTGTTCCTCATTCCTTTCCCCACATAAGCTTTCTATGCAGTTCAATTGAGATAGAAGAGAGCCTTTAGTTAGGGAGATCCAGAAACCAGGCACACAGTCACAGGGCAATCATCCGCAAGACATATAGACACACAGAGACACAGGAACACACAGATTCACAAGTCAGCCTTCAACCAGTCTAAGGGACTGAGACACACACAGCAGACCAACAGAGCAAGGAAGACAGACAGAGCATAAAGTGGGGAATTCAAATCTAGACTCTCTTTTGGTTAAACAAGTAAAGTGCTTTTCTTTCTTTCCTTAATGGGATACCAATGCATTATTGGTAACTCAGAATTAATCACTAACACATAGTGTAACCTAGGCTAGGCTTGACATTGAACTTCTGATCCTTCTGTATACAGCACCTGCCTACAGCCACCTCCCTCCACCCTTCAGTGCTAGGAATACAAGCATAAGCTATCATGCCTAGTTTCTTTGGTGCTAGAATCAAACACGGGGCTTCATGCATGCTAGGCAAAATTTTTTCCACTTGAGCTACATTGCCACATTTATTTCAGATAAAAAGAAAGTTGGATCATTGTCTTGAAGACCAAACATCATTGCTAAAATAGGATTAGTCATGATTTTCCAAATGTCTTATTTCTTTATATTAACACTAATGATTCCCAATTTCCATCATGTAGTCCAATGCAAATTTGTATCTCAAGTCACTGCCCCGACAATGACAGCAGATATTATCTTCACTGTAGAATTTATGGGGGAGTCCTTAACCTTGACATTTTACTGATGCCTTCTCTTTTTAAGACAGGGTCTTATTACCTGTCTTAAATACCTGGTCCTGGCCGACCAGAGATCAGCCTCTGCCTCCTGAGTGCTGAAATTAGAGATGCATAAGACCACACCCAGCACTGAAGTCTTCTTAACTGAAGTCTTCTTAACTGAAGTCTTCTTAACCCATTGGCAGTCACCCTACACTCTAAACACATGTTCTGAATTTATGTAAAGGGATAGGTGAATGGCGTTTTATAGATAATAGATAGATAGATAGATAGATAGATAGATAGATAGATAGATAGATAGACAGATAGATGATAGATAGAGATAGATAGATAGATAGATAGATAGATAGACAGACAGATAGATAGATCTTCAGCATTCGTGCCTCTTCTCTGACTATCTCGTGTCTGACTGAAGGAAGGGAGATAGCTAATACAGCAAACTGCCGGGGGGAGGTGGTTGAAAGAGCTGTCATACATAAAAGACACATAATAATAAGACAGATGATAAGATGAGAGAGATGAAGCAAATACACATGAAGACATAGAAACACACAGAGACCGATTCTAGAATAAATAAATACATTCCTAGACATGGCTATTTTCTTGCTGCACATTGCCCAGAGTCTGCAGGCTTTTCATCAGCTCTTCACGGACGACACCTCCCTCCCAGGTCTCCCAGCACCTACTTGATGTGCTCTGCGCGTCCAGAGCCCTCGATGGTCTTGGCTCCCCACCGCTGCTCCTTCTCGGAGATGTCATTCTAAAACAGACAACATGTAACATCAGCAGCAAGAAACGGGCTAGATTGCAAGGAGCCTCACAGCTGACCCTCACCATCTCCTTCCCCTGCATTAGATGCTTCTTCAGTCAGAGTCTCTACTGTCACTCCTAGCTGCATTTATCCTATCTCAACCCCGCATGAGAATTAAAATTAAGCTAATGATCCTTGACTTACTCTGAATCGCCCACCCTTTCCTCCTTAGATCTCTCAGGATATCTCAAATTAAGGACCATAGGCCAGAAGAGCCCCAGGTTCAACTGATCTTCAACTTCAGGATGGAGTGACCTAGTCCCTCAATTTCACTATCAAATACACTCACACCTGGGCCCTTCTATGCTCAGCACCAGTTATCATGCATTAATAACTGTCAGCTAGTGGTTCTGCCGATCGATCTCACCATGAAAACTATTCTAATCTCAGATATTCCTTCCTAATCCCCCTCAAAGGTCAGAATGGCTGAGGTGCCTCCCACCCCCATTGTCCCAGCGAAGTTTATGCCCTACTCACCACAAAGTCAGGGTCTGTGTCCCAGTCATCACCCTGTGTCTCCACGGAAACAGACACATCATGCCCCACTACAGACTTCCACATCTGGGGGTGACAGACCATGGGAATAATTAGGAAGGAGAGAGAAACCGAGAGGAAGGATGGTCAGAATGCTGAAGTCAACTACACAAGCAATCAAATGTTTTTCGCTGTTCTTAGAAGAAAACAAGAGCTGAAACAAAGCAGATTAGGAAGACTTCTCAGTTAGAAGAGAAAGGAGTGGGAGTTATTTAAGACAAACCAGAGTGGTTGAGTCCACCCACATCTGGAAGGAAGTCAGTGCAGATGTAGGCAACACAGCAACCTCTGTCAGCGTGCCGGGACCATTCACTGCGTCCACAGTTTGTAGTATTTGACAGCACCTTCTGCAGAATTGGGGTGGCATTTCACCCAGATTTCCCCGTGGTTTTGTTTCTACTTGTCAGGACATGAATGAGTCCAGGGTCCCTTTTGTCTGTAACCTGCTTAGCTACATTGAAATTGTTTTCACCTGTCCATAGGATACTGCCCTACATTCACTCTAAGTCACACTCACGGAGGAGCTGTCAGGACGGTTGGCAGAAAGACCCACACTAGGTGATGTGTGGGGAAACATTGACAGGGATTTCAATTTCCTAAGGGAGGAAACACCAAGGTTTTACGTTTTATCATTCAATTACAAACACTGCTCAACTGTATTTAAAGATATACATATTCAAACAAAGCATGTAACAGATCCCCTTTTTGGAACACATGTGGGATTTACCAACCAAGTAAGCATTGCAGGGGTCTTTGGAGAAAACTAGCTTGGCAAGGGGTCAATCATTCCTCCACTGAATACCTGTGTTTTACTGAGCCTTGCCAAGGGAGTCTGAGGAGGAACTGCCTAGTCACACTGTGGGCTGAACAGTGATGTGGCAAGGTAACAAGGGGCAGTGCCCATCTGCTCTGATAGCCTTTGGGATTTCCTGGCTCCATTCTTGCCTACTGGCTGGCAAGTCCCTGCTTACCCTTCTTTCTCAGGGACTTCCACCGCTGGGAAGCTGTTCTGGTATACATCACTGTTTCCCAGAGGAGACTCTCTTCAATTCCTATCCACAGGACTCTGTACATTTAGGCCCCAAGTCTCCACCGAGATGCATCTGGAAACCTCCACCCTTGCCTCCAATTCCTAGCAACCCCAGAAAATCATCCCTGGGGAAATCTGAGGAGGGGGATTAAAGATGTGCTAAGGGGCAGCTAGGGTGAGCTTGCAGTGGGCTGCTAAGAGCAATGTCTTCCTTACTTGGCAATAGCTACTGATAGCAGTTAGCACGGGTAAAGATGACCCGTGAACATCCTATGGCCTCTCTTTGACATGACCAGGCTCTTGTGCTGTTCTGCAACAGAGTGAAACTGGAAAGGAGAAGTCAACTGTATTCATGGGCAATAAGGAAGCAGTGAGGTCCGATGCTCTCATCTTCTGTCCTATCCCCCGCCCCCAGGCCTCAGCCATCTCTCCCATCAATCTCACACACTTCTTAAGATCAAAATAACTTAATCTGCTTGTACTGTTGATGACTCATCAATAAGGTTGCTAACTTGAAGCAGAAGGCTGGAGAATAACCCGGTGAAGGACAGTGAATGCCAGGCACATCCAGTGCCTGAGGACAGTGTTGACTTATGACAATAGTCCACAGACACCTCTGACAGACCCTGTGGGATCACAGCCAGTCACTCAACACAGAGTATGTACCTCTTAGCAAGATACTAGACTAAGCACTTCACAAATATTAACTTAAATACTTTGATAACTCACTGATTCCTGTGATTTTGTTCCCCAATGTTAAATGATGAAGGGCTTAGCATAGCTGCCTGTCTCCGACACTCTGGGATTCCCACAAACACAGAGAGTTACCTACCCTATCTGAATAATCATGCCTGCATTTGCCCCCTCAAAGCACTTGGTTCAGCACCAGTGCTCACGAGGGTCAATTCCCGTTCCCTTACATCTCCCATGTGCATTTTGCGTCCCTCATAGACCATACAAAGTCTTCATCTTCTGCGGGACTCCTTTAGCTTAGTGCCCAGGGCCAGCCGGCCCTTAGAGTGGGATGTGTAGATCCTCAATAGAAGCCAGGGCATACTTGGCTGGGCCCGTGGTCCTAGATGGCTGATCAATCACGTCCCTGAGTGCAGGCCATTTCCTTGTTCCTGTCTTCCCATGCTCATTGTCAACCACTGCACGCAGACCTGATGGCCATCACAAGTTCAGCACCAATTAGCAAGGTCTTCTCTCAACAAGAACTAAGTGCTATGTGGATTTCTCTTCCACACTTCCCTGTGCTCCCCTAGTCTCCCAGAGCTCTGAGTACCCACCTTCACTACTGTTTGTTCGAGCTCCCAGCTCCGGCTCTTCAAATCCACACCCGGCACCCCCGCCAGCTGCTGCCACTTCAGGGCAAGAAACTGAGCAGCGGCTTCAGTTCCGTTTTCAGGTTTTCTGTCATTTCCTGCCACACTGTCCTCACAGCTACTTCCTGAAGTTTGAGTCAGTTCCTTAAGCTTTAGGTACTTAAAAGGGTTAAGTGTTTCTGTGTCCAGTATTTTGAAAAGTTTCTGCAAGTCATGGGATAGTTATAAAAATGACCACACCTAAGCCACATCCCAAGCAGTTAAGACACGTTCAAGAATGCTGTAGGACCGCTCTGTGGTGTCCTACGTAGGACAGTTGCATCTAAGATAGTAAAAGAATTCAGAACAAGCCAGGGGGGTATGGTAGCAAACATCTGTGATTCCAGCACTCAGGTGTACCCCTGGGCTACAACACTGTTGTAGAGGTCTGGTCTGAGGGAGGAAAACAAAAACATTTGATGTGGGCTGGAGCAGTCAAGAGAGGCTTCCTGGGAGATTGATCTGTATGTGAATCTTGAAGGGTAAGCCTTAAAAATACCTCTTCGTTACCTGCAGCATTTACAATGAGGCTCACACAGAACTGATGTCAAAAGGATAACTCCTGAGAGAGGAGGAAGTCCTAGCTTATTGGGAAACTGTGTGAAGCCTGAGCTCACTGACAGAAGTCTGACTCCAGATGAATTCCTCCAAGAAGCAGGAGCGGTGAACTCTGACACACTCCATGCTGTTAAGATCTGTGGCCCTTCCCTTCTATCTTCAAGTCAGACATGCTCAGATGACTTGTTTGGGCCAATGAAATAGACCCTTTCTGAGGGGAAGGCCACTGAGAGTTTGGAGGCCTTTACTGTGGCTGCTTTACAAATACTCCCCCAGGGGGACTTCTCTGGCAGCCTGGGCTCTCGGTGACAAAGAGATGCACAGAAAGTTCCAAGATCATCCCAAGACTTCGTTATTGAATCTGACCCAGGCTCTTCTGACCTTGGTGGGCTGTGGAATTGTGACCTGATTGCCCTAGAGATAACAACGAACCCAGAGAGGGTCCCAGACTGGCTTCACCACTCTTGGACTGTAGAGAGCGTCTCAGTAGTAGAACAGGGCGTTTCTGCAGAACAGAGAGTTTCTGAAAGAGAACAGAAAGCTTCTAAGGTCCCTTCCAAATGGACGCTAAACTTAGGACATTTCATTTGTTCTGTTAAGGCTATTTTAAAGTAGAGACAATGTAGACAGGGGAAATCTTCTAGCTAAGTCATAAGTCATAAGTCTGACCTGGACTTATGATCTCCTGTCTCAGCCTTCTGAGTGCTGGAGTTACAGGCAAGCGCCTAACCTTTTCCAGCCTTCTCTCAGAACCATACACAAGGCTTCAGGACTTCACCCCGGCTACGCTGCTCCTTTAATTCAGTCTCGGGATGGATTTCTTCCCTACCTTGTCTCCTTTGGCTCCAGCAGCTGAGGCTGGAAGGATGCTCAGAGCCCTCTGTGGCTGGTCGGTGAGAAGGGAGGATTTTCAGGACCTTAGTACTCCGGGAACCATCCCTCCACCCTCCACCCTGCAGAGTGCAAACACAGGTACGTAACAACTGTACCGACAGACAGCCTCACACAGATCTTCATTCCCGAAAATAACACTTTATTATTTTACAATAGTTCAGGAAAGTCCTTGGGATGTTGTGACTATAATTTAATCACCATAGAACATAGAGCTGATCAGTGAGTTGCGAGTCCTCTCTCTTCTTCAGGTGATGAGCACAGAAGGGAAGACATCATGGCCGCAATGAGAAAGCCGGCGGTTAGCAAGGGGGGACAGGCACAGTGGGGTCACTTGGGACCACTGCTCTCAGGTCTGGATCAGGTGTTTCGTCTTCTCTTCCCATTGCCTCAGCCCTGTTCGCAGAGGCGGGTGACAATGGCTTTGAAGACAGAATAAGTCACACCCGTGTGCCGTAGCTCGGGTTCTTGAGGCTAGAAGTTGTGATGCTCCGGCTCCCGGCTCCAGGCTCCCGAGTGGCTTCAGGACCCCTAGGGAGGGACATCCAGAAAACAGCATGAGCCAGGCCTTGTGTTCTAACCTGTCCTCACAGCCACCTCTGTTGTAATGGGAACTTGCCAAGGAGATGCAGATGGGTTGGAAGTGGGAAGGCTGTTCTAAAAACTACAATTCTGGCATTAGAGATGAAGGAATTACAAGTTCTGAGAGCTGCGGCCGAGTGATGGGTTTATAGATGACCTGTGAAACACAGGATGAGGAGGACGTGAGCTGTCAGGAAGAGATGGTTGCAAGCAGTGGCACTCCGGTCCAGGAATGGCAGAGTGAATGCAGAACCCGCTTCCATCCAGCGCCACTCTGGGTCTGAAACAAACAAAACAACAACAACAACAACAAAATGAGGAAGTCAACTCCACATAAAGGCTCTTTCTCTTCACCAGTAATTCTGCATCTCAGCCAAGTGATCCCATCCTCACAGCGGAGGGGCATCCCGGGAGAAAGTTTCCTCAGTGGCTGGACACCAATAACACTGCCTATCTCCGTACCTCAGCCCATTCCCACCGCAGAGCTCTCCCTGCGTCCTTCCCTCTTACCCTTCGGCAGCTGCTGCCCGGGATGTCTATCAACACTGACGTCTCCTGAGAGCCACAGGCACCAATGATAGGAGTCCGGGCCGAATCCCATTCACTCTGCTCCAGCCTGTGTTGAGACAAAGATATAACACAATGTCTGATGTATGAAAATCTTCCCAGTCAGCCTGGGAAGGTGGCCTAGGGCTGGCAGCAAAGATTTCTCCCACAGGCCAGGCCACACAGTAGTAAAAGAACTGCCTATTTAGGATGCTGGCTTGGGGGCTTCCGGCTGGGAAACTGGTTAGTGTCTGACCCGTGGAAGCATGACTAACAATCAATAGAACTAGAGCCCAATGCCCGTGTCTTTATGCCTCACGTTCTCCCCCCTCAATACCACATTTCATTCAGAAACTCATTTCTCTCTCCCCTTCCTTCTCCACCCCACCCTGGTTTTTTGTTTGTTTTTGAGAAAGGGGCTTACTATGGAGTCCAGACTGGCTTTGAACTTATGATTCTCCTGGCTCTACTTCTTAGGGCTGGGATTACAGGCATGCACCATCACACTCAACATTGTTTTTTTCAATTTATAATAGGCAAAAGAACTCAAGGCATTCTGTAGGACTCTTAGCATGGGCTGAGCTGCAGCCACTGCAGCCGCTGCAGCTTCTGCTCTGATGTCTGCTGATGTGCTTGTTACTTCATTCTGGAAATTCTACATCTAAGGAGAAGCTGCCGTTACTCAGTGGCCCCTGTGAACAACAGGGCCAGGCGTGTCTCGTCACTCATTTGCCTACAGTTTTAACTGGAGTGGGGAGCAAGCAAAGCCCCTCTACTCTTCATGTTTCTTCCCCACACAGGGAGTCTCCATCAAGTGAATACCTCTCTGTGGGCAGCTCTCTTCTTCAGCAGAGAGGAAATGCCTTAATCTGGACCTGGTCCAGGTGGGCCGTACTTAGTCGCCCTGCTCTCCATTCTGGGTTTGTTGTTGTTGTTGTTTTGTTTTTTGAGACAGGGTTTCTCTCTGTAGCTAGGGAGTCTGTCCTGGAACTTGCTCTGTAGACCAGACTGGCCTTGAATTCACAGAGATCCACCTCACTCTGCTTCCCAAGTGCTGGGATTAAAGGTGTGCATCACCAACACCTGGCCTCCATTCTGCTCTCAGTCAGAAGGAAAGTGGGGAGGGGCTAACCTTAGGTTACTGTGGTCCAGACACAGGCTCCAGAGTCATCCTGACTAAGCTGTCTCCAGTGATCCCGAGCCTCCATGGACCAGGTTTCTCATAAGTGGCAGAGAAATGGCCATGAACAAATAGGTCTGAAAGTCTCTGCAAGGCCACTGCACATGCTGCAATGTGTTCCCATAGAGCCTACCCTCAAGGCTACCTAGACGGTGTTGAGAAAAAAAAGCTGTATATATGCTGGATGAGAAAGAAGGAAATCTCAGCTAAGACCTGCTCCCTGGGGAAGGCATTGCAAGAAGGCAGAAACACCCCCAGTGCCATTTATTCTGAGGGAAGAGACGGCAGACACAGTGACTTGCCCTTAAACACATGGAGGCGTCTGCTGTGTTTCTTTCCATGTAACGGGGATTCCAGCAACAGAACACTTGTAGCCACACTACCTTCTCACACACAGTGACTTCCGGTTTCCTTGATGTGGAATAAGTAATGAGCAGGACACAGCTGTGTCCTTCCAATCACACTTGGGGTAGAGTGCCCACAGTATCACACACATCCATGTCCTCCTAGCTGGGCAAAAGCTGGTGATTTGCAAAGGGAAGTTCAGGGTTAGGTAGTGCATTTGCCAATAAATCAAGCCACACTCTTTCTTAAGTGGTCTTCTATTTTCCCTTAGGTTACAATCTTTAAAATTTCAATGGCCTAGCTAGATGCAGTGGCATACACTTTTAATCACAGCACTTGGGAGGCGGAGGCAGGTGGATTTCTGTGACTTCAAGGCCAGCCTGGTCTACAACTCGAGTTTCAGGCCAGCCAGAGCTGTGTAGAAAGACCTTGTCTCAAAAACAAACAAACAAAAGTCTGGGAATCAGACAGGTGATGAGAATGCGTTTATCTGGCCCTCTAAAGACTCTGACACTGGGGTCGTGGAGATGGCTCAGTGGGGAAGAGCGCTTGCTTTGCAAGCAGGAGGATCTGCATTCCCACCCCCGGCACCCATGAGAGAGCTGGCCTGATGGTGTGCACCTGCAATCCCCAGGGCTAGGGAGAAGACAGAGGCAGGAGGATGGCTAACGACCCCTGGTCACTGGAAAATGGCAGGTGCCAGGTTCAGTGAGAGACTCTGTCTCAGGGGACAGTGTTAGAAAGGGTCACACCAGGACACCTAACACTGTCCTCTGCCCTGCCCCCCTGCCCCCAACATGCACCTCACATGGTTACTGCTGGGATGAAGTAAGACACCTTATATAAGCTTCCTCGTGTAATATGGATGGGAAATATAATACTAACCCCTATGAACTACTGTCCTGGAAAGCACAGGCTTCTGAAGCTCCACAGGTACCCTGCTTCTTGGTGATC